GGGGGGGGGGGTTGCATGCACCAGTTGGAGCGATTTGGGGTAACATGGGAAGAGGAAGGGGGGATACGTGAGGGGAGTTAGCGATCTGGGGAGAGGGATGCAAGCAGGGACAGATATGGCTGCGCACTTGATGTAATCCTCACGGTCCTGGATGTGATAGCGACGCATGACAGCCGCCTCGCGGTGCCCACCGTCGCTCTTCCACTCGACGAAGTTGACCTTCTTCAGGAGCTTCTGCTCATGGTACTTCAGCTTACGCATCGACGACATGGTGTTGTTTGCGGGTGGATGGTTGACGCCTACAGGAATCAGGAGGCGAAGAGGGCAGGCAGGAAAGAGGAAGGAGAGGGGGGGAGGGAGGACAGGGGAAGGGAGGGCAGGGGCGGAGTGGGATGCAGGGAGGGGAGGATGCTTGACCAAGCTGGGCCCCGCAAGGGGCCAATCTCCAGGGCCTTTTTCGGTTGTCTTCCCCGCCTGCCCTCCTCGCCGGCACGCGCGAAGGCCGAGGGACCCGCCTGTGGGGCACAGCGCGGCGCACTCACACGCGGCCGGGCACATGATGCTCCAGCACATATGCCAACGCAGTGGCGCATTTCGCCACGATCGCCCGCGCTTCGTATTGCGGGAACTGTTTCTCGCCCGCTCCCCCCCCCCCCCCCTCCCCCCCTCCCCGGCCCGCAACGCAGTCGCCGGGGCTCTTATTTGGATGGTTTTATTTTCTGGTCTCAGATTCCCAAGATGTGGTCCGCAGGATGCCCGGGGAACTGGGAGACATCCCCCATCAGTGCTCGCCTGAAACAGCCAATCGCGCCCCCCACCCTCACCCCGCCTGGCCGGTCGGATTGCCTCTCCTCCCTGACATTGTCCCCGGCCCCTCTTGTGTTGGGCTCTGTGGACAGACTGGTGGCGATCTCAAAGCGTGGGAGGGTAGCCTGTGGGACAGCCCCCGCATACATCTCCCTCCCTCCCCCCCTCTCCCTGTCTTCCTTCTCCGACTCCCCCTCCGACTCCCCCTCCGACTCCCCCTCCGACTCCTCCCCCCATTATTTCTTCCCATCACCACCCACATCCTCTTCCCGCCGGACTTTGAGGCTGGCTACCTGGGCATCACTGCGTTCCAGGTGCTCGGCCACTCTCCGTCCCTGTGGTTTTCTTCTCACTGAGGCATGGTTCCCACGTTCGGGGTCCTTGTTGGCCCCGATGCTAGCGCCGAGGTAGAGTCTCCCGGGCGCCTGCACCGCAGCGACTCCCCTGCCCCTGAGTACTCTCAAGATCCTCCGCCTGGCCCGGAGGAGTATGGGCCCTTCTTCGATGCAGTTTCTCCTGGACCCGAGTCTTCAGGCCTTCCTCCTCCAGCTTCCGAGCCGCTTCCCAGTGTCGCCACTTTGTCGCCTTCATCCACTTCTCCTGGGCCTCTGTCGCCTCGGCGCTTTCCGGTGACCATTCCCCCACGGGCAGCCCGGCGTCCAAGCATCTCCCATGTCGGACATACCGCCACCATGGTCGCCCCGACCGCTGCTGCCCCATCCGCCGCCGAGGAGGCCCCAAGGCTGCCCACACATCTGGCCATTGGTGGGTCGCCACACTCGCCACGCTCCCCGCAGTCTCCCCGCCAGACTGAAGCACCTGCGCCGAGTTCCGGACCGGGGGACATGCGCAAGGTCGGCAACCCGGGTCCCGGGGGGATCCAGCTCGCTGTGGCTCGCCATGCTCCCCCGCATGCCAAGCCCACGCATGCTATCCTCCCAGCCGGGGGGGACTCCGTCACCACCCTGCCTCTTGCCTCTCTGCCGCCCGCGGTGGTGATGCAGCTCTTTTCCAGCATCCCTCTACCACCGGCAGTATCATCACACCGACGGGGATCGGTGACTCGCGAGACACAGGCAGTCGCCACCGGCGGGAGTGATGGGGATGTCGATCTGTCGGCCGCGCGACGACCCCATCTCGTTGCCATTCCCAACCCGTTGCCGGGTAGGTGCACCCCCCGGGTTCTGTTTCCTCACCACCTGCCCCCCCTCCCACCTCCCACACACAGCCCCTGTTCTGACCTGTCTGTGTATCTCTCCTTCTCTCGGCTTGCCCTTCGGCCAGACGCCCCACCCCCGAAGCGCGCGGCCCTCTCAGACCGGGCCGAGGTGGCGGTTGGCGCCACTGAAGGGGCGACCATCCGACCTGGTGTCGGGCTCAAAGATGACGCCGTCGCGACCGAGACCGCCATGGCCGCGCGGGCGACGCCCCCTGCGCCGCCGCCCCTCCCCCCCCTTCCGCCAATTCTGGCCAGCGCTGATTCCTTGATCCCCAACGGCTTCGCCCTGACGCCGATTGACATCATCAATCTGAATGCCCGGCCAGCGCCGCCTCCGCCCTATCGCTCCGTTTGTACCTTCCAAACCCGGCTTATCACAAACGACTCGGATGATCCGGCCCTGCTGATGCCACAGTCTTTCCGCTTCAGTTCGTGCCCCCTCCCACCCTCTCTGATCTTCCCCTCCTGCCGCCCTTGTTATTTCACCAGCGCCACTGCCACTGCCGCCTCCCGCCGCCACCTGCTCTCCCCCCCCCCCCCCCCGCCCCCCCCGCCCCGCCCGGCCCTCCACCCTCTCACCCCGGCCATGGTTTTCCCGTGGAGAGCCTTGCCCACGGCCACTTCACCCCTACTCCCTCCTCTTCCACCCCAACCCCCCCCCCTTTCTCCCCCCCCCCCTGCGCCATGGTTTCGTCTGACATCATTCCCCCCAGTCCTCAAGAACACCCTCTCCGGGATCCCCGTGCTGGCGGCTATCCACGCGCATCCAGGGCACGCCATCCCGGTGGCAAATGAGCCCCTGGGATTCTTGCATCCACAGGCTGCCGACCCGCTGGTGGACTTTTTCCAGCGCGGTATCGTCTGGGCCACTGGCAACACGATGCAGTACTTTTCAGGCAACCAGCGCTCGGGGGCCTCGGTGGCCTCGGTGGATGAGGGGTTCCTGCGGGTTTCCTCCGGCCACCGGACCAGCGACCCGGATCCTGGCGTCCGGCAAATGCACCAGGCTCTGACCCGGTCCTTGGCTCCGCTGGGTGGGCTGCCGAGCGTTTTTGCCTCGATTGAGCTTTTCGCCCCTCTGGGCGAGCACTCGCGCATCATCACTGCCTGCACGGCGGCCGGGCTGCTGATCACCCATCGGGATGGCGTGGATTCGGCTCTGGTGGACCCGATCACCGGGGCGGCCCTGCCGACCTACGATGGTGGCTCCGGGTCCGGTGGCGGTTTCGACGGGATGGCTGCCTTCCGTGGCACCGGGGCCCTTTCGCGACCGAACAACATCGACGTTGACCTCTTCGCGGATGGTGCCGACGAGGAGGCCTCGTCGGACGATGAGTCCGGTCGCGAATACCTGGAGGAGCTGTTCGAGTCATTGCAGTCGGCACACTCCATGCTCCCGGAGGCCCCGCAGCCTATCAATCTTCGGACCAACCTCTTTTCCTACCAGCTTCAAGGCTTGTGGTGGCTACGGGCGCGAGAGGTACACATGGCTCTTATTCATGCGATGCGACTGGCACTGCGGTTGTTCGGCATGCATTGGTCTTCCCCTCCCCTTGCCCCGGTCTCTGCTCGTTTACTTGCGCGCGCGCGCGCGCTCCCTCCCTCCCTCCCTCCCTCCCCCTCTCTCCCTTTTGCCCTCTCCTTTCCCCGCGACCTCTTCCTCCCGGTCCCCCAGGCTAACCTTCCCATCGCCTCCCAGGCCGAGCCCCGCGAGCAACTGAAGCAGAAGACTCTCTTCTGGGAGTATCACGCACCCTCAGCCAAGTACATCAACCGTGAAACCAACACCACTCAATGGGAAACCCCGCGCCTGACTCGGGGTGGAATCATCGCCGATGACATGGGCCTCGGTAAGACCATCCAGTTGATTGCGCTGATTGCTTCGACCGAACGCATGGACCCGGCCCTCTCGACCACCATCAACCCGGAGGATTTCGTCGAGATCCCGTCGCGCCTCGGCTTGCCGGACCCCCACCCGATTGCCTTCCTCCGGCGGCCGATCCTCCGATCTCGGGCCACGCTCATTGTTTGTCCCCTGTCGTTGCTCTCCCATTGGGAGTCACAGATTATCGTACGTACACACTCTCCGTGCTGTCTTCCGTTTGCCCTCCCTCTCCCTCTCCCCTCTCTCTCTCTCTCTCTCCCTCCCCCCTCTCTCTCCCTCTCCCTCTCTCTCTCTCTCCCTCTCTCTCTCTCTCTCGTTCTTCCTCAGGAGCAATGCGGACATGCGCTTTCTCACCTCCTTCCCCTGGCTTCGAAACGCCTGCTTGTTCTCCCGACCGACAGCTTCACACTCAGCCGAACACCCTCACACAGTATACATACCATGGGCCCTCAAGGCGCAAGGATATTGCCTTCCTGTCCGGCTTCGATGTGGTTCTGACCACATACAATACCATTTCTTCCGAGTGGGGCACCGCTTCGCCGGACACATGGGGGCCCCTACACAAGGTGTTTTGGCGCCGGTACGTCGGGCCTCGTGCGGTTCCTCCAGCAGCTGCTGTTCCAAAAGTCCCTGACAGTCTGTCCCCATCAGCATCATTCTCGACGAGGCGCACAACATCAAGTCCCTGAGCGCCAAGCAGTCACAGGCCACCTTTTGCCTGTCGGCCGAGCGGCGCTGGGCCGTGACCGGCACTCCCATCCAAAACCAGTTGGATGATCTTTTTTCCTTGATCAAGTTCCTTCGAGTGCCGCAGATTCAGAACTACGCCTACTGGGGCCGGGTATTTATCCCCCCCAAGCGCCGGAATTCGCGGCTCTCCTCCACGCTGAACGTAGAAAAGTTGCAAGATCTGATGAAGGACATCTGCATCCGGCGATTGAAGTCCACCAAGATCGAGGGCAAGTCTTTGGTCTCGCTGCCAACCAAGCACGAGGCCATCGAGAAGGTGACCCTCTCGCCGACCGAGCGGTCCTACTATGACTCGATCGCCCTCTATACCAAGAGCCGGCTGGAGAAGATGCTGCGCAAGCAGCCCGGTCGCCGGGGCCGAAATGCCCGCGGCAAGAAGCGCTCAGATACCCTGTCGCATATCCTGGTCCTGCTGACGGTCCTCCGTCAGATCTGCGACTTCCATGGTCTTGTGCAGGTGATGTCCCTGAAGCTGGCCTCCTTACAACGAGCTGGCCTGGCGGCTCCGGTGCCCGAAGAGCAGGACTCTGGGACATCGGACATGGGGGAAGGTGCAGCCGGGCCTGCGGCCCATCTCCCAACCGGCGCCAGCACCGGGCCGATCACCATCGACCTGACCAGCCTCATGGGCGATTCTTCCGAGGAGTCTGACCTATCCGAAGCCGAAGATGAGAAGGAGGAGGAAGAGGCCGAGACAAAGGCAGCGGATCAGGGTCTTGCTGGCGGGAGGGAGGCCCGGGGGACTGACTCGCTCAGGAGCCGGGACCCAGTTGCCCCTTCGGCGCCTGTCGCTCGACGGCAATCAATCGTTTCACCGATTGAACTCCGTCCGCGCCAGGCCAGTCCATCAATGAGCCCCGTGGTTTTGGCTCGCCTGGCGGACCCCGGCGGTCTGTGTGATATCTGCCTGCACCGGGCCATCGGGCCGATTGCCACCAGTTGCTGTGAGCTGGTCAGTTGCCGGCAGTGCATTGAGCGGGTCATCGATGCCACAAGCGACAGCCGTTCCACTCGGTTTGATGACATTGGCACCGGGGTTTGTCCCAGGTGCAGCTCCAGCCTCATGGGAACCATGCTCCTGGACTTGGAGGCAGCGACTGCCGCGGCGGCGGCGGCGGCGGCGGCGGCGGCGGCGACGACGGCAGTAGCCGCCTCGGCAGCGTCCCCGGTCTCCACATCGGCGACGGTAGCCCAGGCGGCCCCCTCCTCACAGGCTGGCCCCCATGCCGCCGCGCCCTTGTCCCCGGGGCGCCCCGGGCGCCTGGATCCCTTGTCCCTACTGGCCGAGGAGACCGATGCCGCAAGCAGCAGTGTGGATCTGCCCCCTTCGCAGCATGTGGCCATGCTGGTGGAGCAAATTCGCGCCGGTGGACACGAGCCTTCGGCCAAGATCAGCACCCTGCTGGCGCAGCTGCGCACCTTGCAGGACAAAACGCCGGGCGTGAAGAGTGTCATCTTCTCCCAGTGGACATCTATGCTGCATGTGGTGGGGGCTTTCTTCGAGAGCACGGGCTTTGCGGTGCCGATCGCGTCGCAGGGTGCCCCCCCGGCGTCCGGTGTCGACGGGGGGGGTCAGTCATCTAGGTCGGGCCACCCTCGGAGTCTGGCCGCCGGGGCCCGGATGCGCTTTGTTCGTTTCGATGGTGCCATGTCTCTGCGCGAGCGGAATGAGGCCCTCGAGCAATTCGAGAATGACCCCACCGTGACGGTGATCCTGGTGTCGTTGCGGTGCGGTGGCCTTGGGCTGAACCTCACTTGCGCCAGTCGGGTGTTCTTGCTGGATCCCTGGTGGAATCCGGCCCTGGAGAGTCAGGCCATCGACCGGGTGTATCGGATTGGCCAGCGGGCCCCGGTGCGCGTGGTTCGCCTGATCGCGGAGAACACCGTCGAGGAGCGCATGCTCAAGCTCCAGCGGAAGAAGCGCGAGTTCATGTACAATGCCTTTGGCAAGGAGCGCAACGCCGAGAGCGCGGTCGAGGAGCTGATTTCCCTGTTGCGCTGAGAGGCGCAGACGCGCAAAAGCAGCATGCATGCCCTATCCCTCGGCCGCCTGTTGCCGGCGGCAGCGATGAAGTTTTCTCTCTCTCTCTCTCTCTCTATCTCTCTCTCTCTCTCTCTCTCTCTCTCTCTCTCTCTCTGTTTCTCTCTCTCTCTCTCTCTCTCTCTATCTCTCTCTCTGTCTCTCTATCTCTCTATCTATCTATCTATCTCTCTCTCTCTCTCTCTCTCTCTCGCCCCTCCCCCCCCCCTGTCCCTCTTGTGCGCCCCTCGTCAAATGTACCTGTCCTCTTCTCCATTTGCAGGCGTGTATCGGTGAAAGGTGCCCAGATCACGCCCCTCGTGGTGAAAATGATCATGGTCTCTCTTTCTCGTTCCCACAGGCGCAAGCTCCATGGGCCGGGGTGGGTAATTTCGGACCAGGGGCTGGGGCGGCCGCCGCCGGGGGGGGGCGGGGGGGGGTGCCAGCTTCTCTGAAGGAGGGTGTATGTGGGCAGGTGCCGGGAGCGTGGCAAGGTGTGTTCTTCCGGCCGTTGCTCCCTGGTGCAGATGGATTTCGCGGGGAGTTCCGTTCGCGGAGAGACCTGTGCTTGGGAGTTTGTCCTGCTTCCCGGCTCTCTGAAGGGGGGGGGGGGGGGGGGGGGGCGGTGCCGTTTTTCGTGGTCCGCCCCGCCCCCTCTGAGAGACGGCGGCAAAAGGCGAGGCTTGGGAGAAGGCTGTTGCGGCCAGCTGTGAGGATGATCTCCTGGAGGTTGGAGGTTCCGCGCTCGGGGGGAGGAGGGCTGTGTGCTGCGATCTCATCCAGCGAGCAGCCAGACGTCCGTGCAAGTCGGGCTGTCCGCCGCCCACGGGGCGGCGGGGGGGCAGGGGCACGCCCGGCGGGAGCAGGCGCTGCAGCCCCGTGTAGGGCTCATCCGCTGGCACTCGCCGCGCCCGGGGTAAAGGCACATCCATCTGGCTGGCATGCGTGCCGTGGATGAGCTTTCTATCGCTTGTTTGTTCGCGAGGCGCTCGGCCGCGTACCCGGCGGCTGGAGTGCCGGCGGGAACTCGGGCCTCTCGTGGCGCCGGTGTTCGCGGGCGCCGGGCCGGACGGGCAGGGGGGGCCTTTTCTCCGGGCAGTGCGGGGTCGCAGTCCGGCACACAGCCGGGAGGGGGGGGGGGGTTCGACAGAAATCCCCCCTGCGGGCGGTTGGTCGGCCTGGGTAGACCTCGGGCTCAACGCAGCACTCCGAGAGGTGGATGATATCATCGGTCGGGGGGCACACGGGTAAGCCTGGCACCCTGGTCCCGAAGGGCCGGTAGCAGGGCCAACCAAGGGACTGATGAGGCCTGATCTCCGGGGTTGGCCGCAAACGCGCGGCCACCGGCGACAAGAGTTCGCAGGCGATCGGCGGCTGTACCTGGGCCGAGAAGACACGCCTAACGGGTCGCCCCTGGGGGCGGGCGCGGGTGAGAGGCGGCCGGGGGGAGGGGGGGGGGTCATGCGCACCGCTCCCGGCTGGCCCCCGGCCGGAGATTCAACCGGCCACTTGTGTGGTGGGGAATATGACTGTCGGCCAGAGACGGGGGAGGGGGCCCCGGGGGTGTGGCATGTGCTCTTGCCGTGAAGGGGCTAGCTTCTTCTCATTTGGGTCCTTCCTCCTGGGGACGGCCCTTTGGGCCAGGGGCTGGCCGCCGGGAAGGTGCCGTCGCTCGGTGGCAGTCTCTTCCGCCTGTTGCCGCCGCCCCCCCCCCCCCCCCATCCCCCGCGCGCCCCCAGGGGGAAGAGTGCGGGGCTTCTCCTCGCCTCTTCCTGCTTTCCCGCGGCGGGCCTCCCGGGGGAAAGGGGCCCCGGCGTTCTGGACGGGGGGGCGGGGGGGGCGCGCGCCGCGCGGGGGGCGGGGGGCGGCGGGGGGGGGCCTCCGGGGGGGGGGGGGGGGGAGGGGGGGGCGTCCCTCAACGGAGAAAGAACCCCAGAGGACATGTAGACTGACGGGCCGATCTCGGGATGCCTGTGCCTGTTTGCTAGCCGCTCTGGGGATGGGATGCAAGGGAGCAGCGATCCCGCCTCAAGCAGACTTCCCCCCGGATGCCCCCGCGTCCGGGCCCCCCCGCACCTGGACCCCGTGGTGTGGCTTCCGCGTCGTCGTTGGGCCCGAA